CATATAATTATATAATTGAAGGCACACTTCTAAAAAAATTCACAATTTATATAATAACAAGTAGCTACTAGTTTGTGTTTTGAACCCATTGAATAATCTCTCATCTTTAAGCATTTTTAAATAGCAGGTAAAATATCTCTGATGCACGTAAGATTTAAAACTCATATTGGAGTTTTGAGCTAAAGTTGGATACAAATTTCCTAATTGTGTCACTGTTTGGGCCCAAAATAACAGTTTGGGCCGAGTGTAGGGTCATTCTCGGCCCGGGAGGCCTTGCGGCAAGAATACCACGGATCGTTCAGTACGTGGGCCTCCAAACCTAGGTCGGCTAGGTCATAACGCAAGAGGTCGAATCCTAGTGCAATAAGGAGTCTCGGCAGGACCCGGGAAGCGAATCCGACTCAGGTAAAGGACTAGGTTCACAGTCCTAGTGAAGGTAGGACTGGTCGAGTTGATGCTGATCAGGGAAAGGAAACCTAGTCCGAGTAGGTTTTTAACTCGACCTTGGGGGGAGCCATTGCTATAAATAGAAAGAGGTTGCACATCATCCAAAAGGCCCCCTGCAATCAATACAAAATTGCCCTGCGCAAAATTCTCCACCAACTTGTGTGATTTTTCTTTTTTTCCTTTTTTCGCTGACACATCTTCCGTTGGCATCAACAGCACTGTGGAAGCAACCGGTGATATCTTAAGTCGGCATAGATAACTCTGTCACCCGTAGAATCAATCGGATCGCAGTATCTTCCGTTGGCATCAAACAGCACTGCGGCGAGAACGGTTGATTACCTATCCAAGTCTCGGTCGAGAAGGGTTTCTAACCCTTATTGGTCGAGGTCATCTCATCAGCATTCTCGGCGAAGTGAGGTGTTACACGTTATTACGTTCGGCACATTGAAAGCCGAATTTGATATTGAACTTCGTAAGAATAGTAACCTTGTCTTCAGGTTCGAGAGCCCAAGAGGCCGATACGTGTTCCTTTCTCGGCCGCAATCGCAAGACGCAGAAGTCAGTAGCGCGACCCAACGCAACATCAACAAATTTACTCCTCGGCCGAGCTCGGCCGACGAGTTGGCACGCCCCGCATTCACCGAAGGACGTAGTTAGCTCATTAATTACTCGGCCTGCGTGCCACGTAGGCTTTGTAGTTTCTAGGGTCAACAGTCACATAAACAGTTTTAGCGGACTTTGTTGGTAGGAGGTAAAGTAACACACAAGTTAATTTTAGACGGATATACGACTATGCAATTATCCATCTTGACGAGTATGAATAATTATCCACGGTTATAAAACCTCATATGGTTGAAATTTGTACAATGCTTGTGTGCCAAGTTAGTGAGCATAAAAGTTTCCCTACAATTACTTGTTGGTTCAACAAAATCTGTATACTTTATCGGGACCAAATTCAAAAAATCTGTCCACTTAAACTTGATGTTATTTCGTACGTGTAACTCTTTAATTTAAGGAAAACTAACGAAAAGTTAAAAAAAACTTCCCTTTTAATGAAAAGTCATTTTTAAAAGTATAGAGAATAATGATAGTTAAAGATAAAAATGTGATTTTTTATTAAAAATGAACACTACCGAGAATATTTTATTAAAATTCCCTTTAATTTATAGACCCTTTTTTGTAACATTTACTTGAAAACTGCACTATTTCTCGTGTGATATGGAATACAGTCAGCACTAAGGATTGTGGACTTTTCTCACGGACCTGGAGACGGGCTACTCTTTCACCTGCTCCATGTCTGGGATTGTGTTTTCTTTTGTTTTGTGTATACCCTAATTCTTTAGGGATAGGTAAAAATTGACATACTCGGAAGCTTGTCGAATTTATGATCAAAACCTAATTTAGTTGAACAAAATTTCAAAGGAGTAAAGAGACTCGAATTTGGGGCCTCTTCCGACACTAGAAGGAGAAATATAACTATTTAGGTAAATTGATATTGTTTCTCAATTTATTCACCTAAACAGATAATTCAATTCGAGTGTGAGATTTCTAATCTTGAAAATCCCCAAAAGTGATTTAAGAACTCCTACTCAAAATAGTAAATTGTGAACAATCACTATCATGGTACATTGGTTGTGGGTTTCCATTCATGCGTTCTGGGTTGGGTTCGAATCTTTGTGTAGAATTATAATTTTTTATTTTATTTCATTGATTCACAATAGTACAAATATATATTAGTCAATTGACTTGGAGTACAAGTAGTCCTAAACCCGCAGAGATTTACAAAAGCTAGCCCATTATACTAACAGCCACCGCCAAACTTGGCGGTCTTGAAGTGACAAGTCTGGAACGAAAAAGTGAAAGTCTGGCTTGGAAAGGTCTTTGGTGAGAATATCTGCTAGTTGATCAATCGAAGGAATGAACTTAACTTTGTGAGTGCCCAACTTTACATGAACAAAATGATTATCAAACTCAATGGGCTTCGTTCAAGCATGAAACACCAAATTAGCAGCTATGTAGTTGATACTCAAATCATTACAATGCAAAAAGATAATAGTTTCGAATTTTCCCTTTATCCTTGATAACGGTAGGGTAGTGCAATTCACACACAACTTTATTAATTTTTGTCCATTGATCTTCTTCAATTCTTCCAAATCAACGGCCGAAAATTGAAAGAAGTGTGTTAGAAGTAAAAATAGGTGTGTGGATACTAAATAGTCCCATCCTAATAGTAAATTTAAAAACAAACAAAAAAACAAAAAGAAAATAAAAAATCTTATCACTTGTGGAAAAATTATTTTTGGTCCACACAACTCGTAACAGTAGAGCACGTGACAACTCAACTTGTTTGTTCTGTTCTCTTTCTAATCAGAGTGGATTGGACGTGCTCTGGATTTTGTTTGTTGTCGTTACTTTTGTTACATCCCATTCCAGTTTATTGATGTAAAACAAATGACCAAATGAATTGAAGATGAAATGAAATAAAGAAAGACAAAGGAGTACAACGGGAATATCTAAATTTGGTGCCCGAGTTCCAATTTGGGCTCACTATGCCTTCCCAAAATGAAAACGACGACCTAGTTCAAACACACTGCTTTGCAATGATGAATAAGGGATTTTAGCTATTCGAGGCTATTTAGGCTTTCAAAAATACATTTTAAGTTCTGTAATAAAAATCGAACTTTTCGTTTCCCGTCCAATTATTGTTGTTGTTTGTTCCAAAGAATCTTGATCCTTTCCAAGGCTGAGTTTATATCTTTATAAGTGTTCGCTCCCAATGTAAACTCAACATTCAACAATTAATCAAAATACCTTTGAGATTTCTCTCTAAACAGGTGCTCTAAAACTTTGTTCTTCAAGAAATTATGCTTGTAATTTTTTATAGTTTCGTGTTGCTTCAGGACTAGTGTGGAATCACATGTGATTTATCAAACAACTATATATCAAAATATAACCCTTCAAAAACCCATGATGAGTCCATATAATATTATATATTTTACCCTATTCTTAGTATAATTTGGTAATTATTTTGATAGAATTTTGATATTTTGCTTTATATTTTCAATGTAGGACATTCGACTTCCTGTAGAGAAAAATGTGACCACACGGACGAATTTTGTAGTGATTCAAATTGGAGGACGTTCGTGTGTCTCTTGGCTTGTTCATATCAAAATTTGGGATTTTTCTACAAAGCGGTTATTTTCTGGAAATTTATTAAAGAAGCAGTGTGTTTTGCTAGAAAGTGACGTTTGTGGGCTTGAATTGCGTTTTTGGAGCCCAAGATGACATTGGATGGGTTTGTGACCTTCTGGAGAAGTGTTCAGAATAGTCCAAACTTTAAATCCGCTATATTGGGCCAGTTTTGGAGCTGTTATGGGTCCAAAACGTGGCTGTGCATATTTTTGGGCGAATTTACTAAGTTAATTTAGGATTATGTTTCCTAGTCTTATTCTAAGACTTTTTACTAGGAGGATTTTATTTAGAGTAGTATAAATAAGCCTTTTGGCCGGCCCTAGGGTTCTTCTTCTATGTATGCAAGATTGGAGAGAAGAATTTGGGCATAGCTTTAGAGATTTTCATATTTTATTCTACAAGGTGTTTTCATTCTTTTTCTATTTCAATAAAGACTTTGTGGTTTTTATTATGGGTATGCATAGCTAATTTTCTTTTGCTAGGGCGAAGCCTTGAGCCTTAGCATGAATATATAGTTTTTATTTAATTGCTTATGGTATTATGCATGCATGTCATTGTCCTTTAAACTGTCTTTGTGTCTTAATGATTCGCAACAATTAGGATGTTTAGATAAGTAATCAAATGCAATTTGATCAGAATGCCACCGGGGAATTGAGTATTGCTTCTTGTGATTAATAGTTGTAATTTCACCTATGGCGAATGCCACGTCTTGGGGGTTGCATGGTTTTTCAAAGGGTTTTCACAAAACGTAATAAGTCATGCATGTTTATATTTGATTTGAATGTCACGGATTGCATGTTTAATATACATTCTAGCTTGAATGCCACAAGTAGAATATGCATTAGGAAAACCTAATCTTCAAAGTTGCATGGATAACTTTTCCAAAATTGTTTCTCAAAAACCTTTCCTTTTGATTTGTTTCCTTTTTAATTGGTTATTAGTTGCTTTCCCTAAATTACTTTTATCAAAATTCGTTTTTATTACTTTTAAAGTCAAAATCAACATTTTCCAATCTTTGTTCGCAAATAATTAACTAAGATTTTGGTTTTGCATTAATTGTTTTATATAATCCCAAAGGAAAACGACATTGTTTTTGCCGTTTATACTACAACTACCTTATTCTTTTGCAAGTATTTTGTGTGATTTTAACCTCTTTGCGCAAGTACCTATAAATCCTATCAACCCACAAAATATTAGTCCACAATACATCAGGTGTAGCTACAATGCCATGTATCATTCCATGCTACACGTGTTTTGGCCATTAAATTTAATCTCCGTGATTGTTTAGATCTTCTATTTCCAATCTCCGTCATTCATTTCTCGTATCATTCAATACGGTGAAGTATTAAAGAAAAATCCAATCCAACAACCAAAAGGCTCTCAAATATAAAAGCAGTAATCAGAGTGTCGAATTCCTACTAACTTAAAGATACAAAGTCTAATTTCTGTAAGGTCATATAATAACATTCACTTTCCATCATTCAGTGGATACATTTCACTTGTTCTTGGTTCTAATCTGCTTAAACTTATTGCCATGAGTCCTGATTAACTTATATCTTCATATCATCTACGCATCGATGAAAGATCGTATGTACAGTTGCTCATCTACCTTACCGGCATGTATGCTATGGAAAAGGAACACCCGAGCGGAAAACCTGACCTTGTTCGCCACAAACCATCACTCAGCTGCACCTTCAATGTTGTTTGCTCCAGGTCTGACGATCTCCGCTAAAGTTTCCAGTATTCGAGGAATGGGATTCATTAACTTCATTCGTACAGCACCAACATTTTCATTGGTTTCCAGTGCCATTAAGCTTCCCACTGATCTCTCCACCCTACCGTATGCATTAGACTGCACATTGCCAACTTCATCATCTTTCTTACTGGTACTTCTAGGATTAGAGCTTTTCGCGAGCTTGGCAGTTGCTTCCGATACAACACTTTCAGTTTCGGAACCAGTTGCTGCCACTTCTCGCTTGGTTGCATCTAAATCATCGGTTAAAGAGAGAGTCGTATTGGAACCTGACTGCAGATCCTTGGATTTGGGGCTTAGAAAAGCTTCCAGGTACAAGTGCCCTTGGCCAGAAGCTCGACTTGCATCGCGATATAACTTTGGTAACATCTCTGTTCCATTAAGAGAATCATTACTCAGTTTTAGTTCTTCAACTGTTTTGATTGATGAATATGTTTTACCACTTTCTTCACTCTGCACAGCATTTTTAGCTGCCCCGCCAACTATAAAGCCGAGGATACCATTGGTTTTAATCTCTCTCTCGACTTCAATCTTTTCCGCATTTTCTACCTCTTCTTCCTTCACTTTTCGCAAGCTTCCAATTTCAATTTCAGTGCTTAAAGTTTGGATGTTCTGCTTCACAGCACCGGACGCATCATCAGCCTTGTAATGTTCCTCTCTCATCTCTTCAGTGTTCCTTGTATCTTCGCTCCGGGATTGATCATCTAACAATTTGAGAATCTCTTCATCACTTTCTTGTTCCTCACTCTCCTCTTCCCTCTCCGTATCTTCTTCATCAATTAAATCCTCGACCGCCTCAGACTCTTCCTCGGCTCTCTCCAAATCATGCCCGTCTATTTCATCCGATTTACTCTCGTCCATCTCTTCTTCAGAATCTTCTTTTTCCTTGTGCCTTCCATTATCCAAGGAAGTTTCATCCACTCGGGGGATATAGGTCGCGCCTCCCAAGTTTTATTATTGCATCCCCCTTCTGCATCTTTCCTGATATCGTTCCAGAGCTCTCTTCATACGCTTTCTTGTCATGGGAGTGCTTGAGTTGGTAAAGCAACCAGATGCAGATGGCAAGCAACAGAGATATCTGTACGGCATGCTTCACCTTGAAGCCTTTTGACCTCTGGTTCCTACTCGGCGATTGCTTCAACATCGTTAATGTCTAAAACACGTATGAACTCTACCAATCTGTACAAAGGAAAGTAAGAACGATCAGTGCATAAGCACGAAACAATCAAGAGTAAACCGAATGACACACACTTTATCTATCATACATCTAAAACTTGTATCTGCAGAATCCAAGCAATACACAGGTTTTGAAAAAACAATATCGTGCATGATGGCAACGGAATTGGTTATGCATTTGCACGTAATGAGAACTTTTGCGCTAGTTAACGGTGGTGCAATTAACTAAATTGTAAGATTCAGAACCATACTTTGCAAACCAAATAGTTAGCGGGTTGAAAAAAAACAAGCCTGGAGTGTTCTGCCGACAGGCAAAAATAATAGTAAGAAAAGTAATCAAACTCCACTTGCTCACAAATATAACCAAACTTTGTCGGCATGTAAAAACTATTAGTAACAGAGTTTTATTTAGTATTCAGCACACTACAGCGGAGTTAAAAGTAGAATATCGCTCGAATAAAAAAAAAAAAACATACTTAGCACAGTGAGTAGTAAATGCGGAAGATATCGAACCTGCAGACGGAAAACACAGCTGAAAACAATAACAAGAACCAAATCTAATTCCAATTTCAAGCATACAACATCATTTATTAGAAATTGCAACAACCCCCATTGGGAAGAAAAAACAACATACATTAGTGGGATTTCTGTGTTCACAGCAACTAAATCACACAACCCACAAGGCCAAAGTTCTCACTTGAAAGCTGAGTAGCTAAATTTGAGAAAAAATGAAAAGGGTTTTGAGCATTGGAACTGGCTTCATCTTCCTTACACAGGCAGCTAGCTGTACCAGTTGAGAAATATTCCTTGTGTTTTAGTTGCCGACCCTTTTCTTTTTCTGTTTTTTTTTTTTTTTTTTTCTGTTGAAATATGTGGTTGGAAAGGAGAGGAGGACAAGGGCTAGTTGTGGGGTGTGCATATTGTGTACTTCTCAATAACGCCTAGGGAAAATCCAAACTCACACACACAACACATTTTCTGGTCGAGTGATAGAGGTGACATATTATACTTTTACTCAGATAGAGAGAGAGAGAGAGAGAGAGAGAGGAGTGTCACTGACAGAGTGATAGAGAGGACAAAAGCATTTAAATCAACTTTGGACTCTGCCGGGTGGCTCACTGTATTCTCGTTTTTACTTGGAGAAAGTTTTGCATGGAACATGAGGATTTGCATGAAGTATTACACATGATTTAAAATATCAATAATATCGAAAATATCGATAATTTAAAAATATGAAAATTTTGATAGAAATATCGGGATATTATCGATATCGATAAAAATTGAATAAAAACCACGGAAAATGTAAGAAAAATTTGAAAATTTTTATTGAAACTTTTCAGAATGTTTATTTAGTCAATTATTTATTAGTTTATTACAAAAAATTAGAAGGAAATGCATTGCAGGATGGATTTAACTGATTTAAGTTGATTATATAGCGAGCTGACAAACATTGTGAGTGTAGAAAATATGTAGTAATTAAAGAAAGAAGTTTAAACACACCATAATCATTTATATATAATGAATTAGTATAATATTTTACACTTTATACATTGCATGGTAAGATACATAAGTGACTTAGTACCACATAGAGTTCCTATGAGGTTCAAAATTTTCACTATCTTCATCATCTCTATGTGTAGAGTAAGTGTATTGTGAATAGTAGTCAGCAACCATAGCAATGGCTTTCAAGAACCAAAACCCAAAAGTCAATAGGAAACCGAATACTTCGGTATTTTTCGGGATTTCGGGATTACCAAACAAATGGGATTTGGAAACCAATCCCATATCGAAAATTTCGGTATTTTCGGGATGGTTTTGGATTGGGATTTTTCGGTTTAGGTTTGGGACTTTTTCAGTTTGGTTTGGGATTTTCGGAAATTTTTTCCAACCCTACATGTAAGTGACCAAATAAAAAATAGAAAAATTAAAAACACATGTCATTGACTAAGTAATTAATTGACACAATTTAAAATATAATACCACAAAAAATTTGGAATACGTGCAAATTTGTTTCTTGCATAAAGAATTCAAAACAAAACCATATATATATATATATATATATATTTTAGCATATTTTCACAAAAACATAAGTGATATGGTGGTCAAAGCATTGAAGGAGTCAAATGGGAGGAGTTCGAATCCCTCTATGCACAAGATTGAGATTTTTCAGAAATTTCAAGTATTTTTGGGTTTCATCTCACGATATATTAACGATAATTAAGGGGATAAGTCACGAAATATCGTCATCTCAAAAAAATGATGATGATATTATTGATATTTTGGTCCATGGTATTACGATAATGTTTTATGTCAATAATGTAAGAATATGAAAATAAATTAAGAAACATCTTTGTAATATTAATATAAAGTGTCACCGTAGTGGTGTATCCATGACATACAATACATCTCTCAGAACATAAACGTTAGGGTGGTGGAGCGTCGTTCTTTTTGTATTATTAATATAAAGTGTCACCGTAGTGATGTATCCATGACATACAATACATCTCTCGGAACATAAACGTTAGGGTGGTGGAGCGTCGCGCATACAATATCTCTTATGAGACTCCATTGTATTTTGATTTCACCCATTCACAAGAATAACTTTCATAGAACGAGCACATTGCTATAGTGGTATCCTATGCCAATAAAATAAAGACAAGTGCAACTTTTTGTCTACATATAGATGTATTTACCATGTAAGTTGTTCTTCCTTATAATGTACGATCTTACTATGTGTGACAGCTACGGAATACCTTCATTACAAGGAACAATAATACGTCAAATAAGACATTCAAAAACACCTTCAATTACATAAACAATTTGTTATGCATTTTCTCCCTCGTTTCTCTCAAAATTTGCAAACATGTTTAATCTATCGTGATTAGTCGCGTGATGAGAGATTATGTACTTTTGTAGACATTTGGTGACATCCAAAAGTCTTTGCAAGTATATCGTTGGTAGATTTGAATTTGATCAAATGTAAGTGAGCCAATTTGTTTGCGAATCGAAATGGTTGCTGATTAAAAGTTACAATAATAAAAAAACTGAATGGTGTTGCAAGTGATCTTTTACCACTGGTGGAAAGGTCTCTTGCATTACGGCGAACAATCCACAACTTGCTACTAAAAACTAGTTAATTCAACCATATTACAAATCTTGGAGTTACTTTTTTTTGGCTAAAACCTGAGGTATCTCACACTTCGAAGAGTAGGACTAATCCCCAATGATGCACGAAAAGACTACAAGCATTTCGACCACTCCTGACAACAATCAAATGACACATTCTCCCAAAACTTTCAACCAAGGCACCACTTGTGTTACAAATCTCGGAGAAAAGGAGCACAAGTTTCCTTATAAACAAATCTTCTCACATCGCACTCTTATTTTAATTTAATTTTTTGTTTATTTATAGAAATTTCAATAGACAAAGGCAACTAAGATGGCAACCCACATTTTCAGCATTCTGCTAACCCAAGGAATGAGGATACTATTTTTTTTCATTGCCAAATTCCACACTCCAAATGGTAGGATTAATCCCGAGTGGGGCCCGAAAAGGCTCCTGACCACAATCGACGTCTTCTCAAAGTTTTCAGCCAGGGAATCACCCTTGTTTTTGGCAATTTCGTTTTACAAACCTAAGACCAAAGAACATACCTGACTTGGAATTCTACCGCATTTCCACCGAACCACTTGACTGGCTCAAAGTAAGGCAAATGTCGAGAAAGATACCATATATTCTTCCTATGAAATGAAATGACGTATATGCAAACAATTAACGAAGCTTCTAGCCCTTTTCCTAGCAACTTGCCTTATCCCTTGGAGCGTCCATTACATTCCTTTTTCATACTCTTCTATAGTTCTTCGACGGAATGAGAAACATATTAAAAAGGAACAGGAAGGCAACACACTTAGCCAAACGGAACATAAAGCCAAACCCGTCAAAGACAGCAACCAAACAAGCTAACTAACTAGTCTTGCGACCGAAAACAAACAAATTAGCCTATATAGTTAGGAGGCATATTTGAACTTCGAAGATAAGTGCAAAGGACGAGAAATGAAGGGATCATGCTAATCGAAAACAATTAATACTGATATTTTTACGAGTTTAACTCTGCTTGATCAAAACTTCAACTCAAGAGGGGCAAAATTTAGGAAAAGAGAAGACCAACAGAGAAACTAATATTTCAAAATATTTGGGTCCGAGAAGTAGTGTCAGTGAGCAATATAGGCAACGTGACTGAGCAGATCGCCAATGTCACTCAGATATCTGGGTGATTTGAATAATTATCGATTCAGTTATCTTAAACAAAAACCAATTGTAAAACTCAAATCAAGTCACTTACAGCCTACATAGCTGTTTCATGGAGTGACATCGGCAGTAGATAGTTTTAAATTGCTTCAAATAACACACTGGCAGTAACTACCTTGCTTCTGCATAGCCCATAAGTTGATCTTGGCCGTTGAGCAGATGTGGCTTGAAAATCTAACAGTAGCAATCCAAGTTGTCAAGTAAATAATCAAATTAGTAGTGAAATAACGGTAAGGAACCTAGGGTGCGTCGAAAGTATAAAACCATCCATATGAAAATAAATCATTGAAAATCAGAAAAGACGTATACTTGCACAAGTACCTTAAATTCGCAACAGGTCATATCCTAACCGGTATGGGTTTTATAGATCACAAAAACATAAGGAGTTTCGCTGCAGATACTTCTCTTAACTCTCTTCATCTACAAGAATGGTTGATTCATTTCCAATCCCAAGGTCCGTCAAAGTTGCCATTTCATCATCAAGCAATAATGGCAGTGGAGAACCCTGACAATTTAGGTAAATAAATATTTACCGCAGGAGCAAGAAAGTGATCAGAGCAATAGATTTCGAATTTTTTTTAGCAATGTAGCATGAAATTTTTCAGCTTGAATTATAAATCAGTGGAAGTAGCAACTGGAACATGCATATTACTTTATACTGAGGGTAACTTAGAGTTTCTCTCTTTTGGTTCTAAATATGCTTGAGTATTAGAGTGTTTCATTATTGTTAGCAATAAATGTCTCTTTCTCTCAAACAAAGAAGAATGTTAGAGAGCTTGACAATTTTTCTCTCTATCAAAAGCAACTGGTAGAAATAACAGTCTGATGACATACTATTCTCCGCAATAGGAACTTATCGATCTTGTATAAATCAATAATGACAGAAGATATATTGTGTAATAAGGAGGGCAAACCTTTTCTTCAAGAAACAATTTCAGTTTGATAGACTTCAGCTTGAAAAAGCTTTCACAAAGAACTTTCAATTTTCCAACCTAAAAAAATGTAGAGTTTTAAGGATACAACCAACAAGACAGGTAATTTAGAGAGAGAGAGAGAGAGAGAGAGAGTATGTGGGACTATAACTGTTGTGGTGCCTGGCAGTTTCTTCACCAATGATGGTTTCTCACCAATAGATGCTCCCACACATTTGAGAGTAATAGCTGCATAAATTTAAAACTTGGTTTGAATATCATGATTGCTAGTCCACGAAAGAAGCTAATAAAAAGTTATAAAGTTCCTACACAGAAGTCCTGAAGACATTTTCTGAGGGCCTGCTGTTCCAACCAGTGGCTTTTCATCCTCAATTCCATGAAAAACCTTAAGCTCCGCAAACCTGTAACAAAGCATAGGTTTATGAGAAGCGAAGGACTTAACTATTGATTCAAATATCAAGGAATAAGCATTCTTGGTGGTAAAGAATAATCGCATTAATGTCCCAAACCCAAGGCACTTGAATGCACGTATTCATGGGGGCAGATGAATATCTTGTTGAAAGAGAGATTAGAAAGCGGCGAGATTGGAAAGCAAAGAAA